TATATTCTGAGATAAGAGATTCACCAATACAGAGGTATGTTCTTCAGTGAGCTTTCCAGTTACTTGAAACACAGATGTTACTGGTGGGCTATGTACTGGGTCTCTTCTGTGAAAAGGTGTCTCCAGGTAGAGTCAAGGTGCATTGGGTGGATTTTGAATATCTGAACAAGCATAGAAATAGCTGCAGCCTTCTCACCACATGGATTTGATGAAAGCTATACTAGCCACTATATAATGGCTGACCTTAAATTATTAAGTATAGAATGATCCAGGGCTGTGTATCTTGAGGCCAAACTGAAAATGTGTAGGTCCAGTGCCTGTAAGCTAAACAAGCTTGTTCCATTCACCTATCAACTGAGGGTGAGGAGCTCCACTTTCTATGTAACATTACTGTGCAAGCAAAGGGAACAAGATCTGCCCTCTCCCTTGTGTTACCTTGCAGGGCTCCACTGTTTTTAAGTAATGTTTCCTCAGCCCCACTCCAATATTGGATGTAAGCCAGGCAGAAATAATACTGCTTGAAGTTATTACATATAGCACCCCTCTTTCCCATTCACATTTACACGTGTGTGTGTGTGTGTGTGTGTGTGTGTAACATATGTATAGTTACCCTGCATTACTAATTTGGCCCTTTGAGCATAGAATTCTAATCTCAGACCCTAATTAACTTAGATGAAGAAAGGCCATCCTGCTCAGTTGGATCATCAGCACTGGAAACAGAGATGCTGGATATTAACTGAAGACCCAACTACACAGCTGGGCTAGTACCAGGGCCCCTTCAAGCCAATGTCATCCAGAGACAGTAAGCTTTGAGATAGAGTCTCTCCAGGTACAAATCTCCTACAGACTAAGAACCCCATGCACTGTTGACCTGTCCATCAGCACTGACAATCAACCTGGTGGGAATTAACAGAGAGGAAACAGAAAGCTAGTTCTCAAGCCAGATGGCCTGATTTAAGGCCTTCTACTCATCAAGGAAAGGGCAGAGACTAGAAGGGGTGATCTGATATTGCAAGGATAGGGCTCACTCAATGCCAGACCCTGTTGGTGTTCTCTGTAATGCCAACCATTCTTGCTGCATACTCCTCTGTGCCCCATGGGTATCATGTCAGGTCAGGACACTGCTAGGCCCAGACATCATTATTTCAGTCTTGCTTGGATTTGGTTTCTGTTGGCTGTTTTTCAAAACTAAAGTCACAGGATTGTCATTATTTAGGGACAGGTTGTCATTAAAATTGGTATGTGGTAGTCAGCATTGCCAGATACAGTAATTTTGCACAAAGGTTTTATGGGGCACGGCAAAAAAACAAGAAGGGGCCTAGTAGGAAAGTCATAATAGCAACCCATGTACCATCTTAAAGCTAAGAGACCAGCTATGCTGATATATAATCCTAAACATGGAACATGTAATAGTAGCTGACAGGCAATATGAAGGAATTGCCATAAACACTTTTTAGGGTTAGTGAAACAGAGAATTAATTTAAAGTATGAAAACTATACTGGATTATTTTGTCTTATAGTTCAGAATAGATCTGGATATACATTTAAATTTTTATTAATTATATTCATTTTAATTATAATTATATTACAAATAAACAAAGTAATTAATCAATTAAATAGGTTTACATTTTACAATATGGTTTGTTTGGAGAATGGCATTTCAAAAAAGTCAAGTCAGGAAACACAATTATGATACAATTTCTTTACAGCTTTGCTGCATTTTATTAAAGCTCAAAGGTGTAAGTACATTTAGGGTGAAAATTTACTTCACTCTCCTTTATGCTGAGCGAGCAACAACTGAGCTATACGTTTAAAAGAAGGAAAGAGAGAGGGTGGGAGAAAAGGAAAAAGCTACCCTAAATCTTTTAAGTTCATACTTATATATATTAAGTGCATATTCTTAAATATATATATATTCATTCTTAAATACTCTCTAGTAGCACTATACTGAATGTATGGCAGTATGTGAAAATCCAACTTTCTAAACAGGAGTGTATAGAAGAAATGTACCTTGTGTTAGTAATGACCATCTGATTTCCTGTTATTTATTATATATACTTTCATTCCTATACTGGGCTTCCACTGGTGACTCACTTTAGAGACCAGTCAGAGTCAGAACTGGTTAGCTTTAGCAATGTTCCTGCATCAAAGGATAGTGTCCAATGGTGGCGCACCACTCATGGCAATGTGCTAGCATAAATCATCGTGAACACAAAGTATTTAGTGCTTGCTAGTGCAAAAGTAAAAAGCAATTGCTTTGCATTTTTCACTAGCAAGTGCTGATGATGTTGCACTAGCATTATAAGTACAAGGTTGCTAGCACTAGCAGCTGAGCCACCACTGGATTCTACAAAGATGCTCAGACAGTATCTGTATTTTTCTTTTTAGGTAACATCTTAAGCTAGTTTGGACAAGCCTAAATACAAGGAAAACAACAAGAAGATTCTAATAAATACAATGGAAATCTATACAAATTGAATGACTGTATGAAGTACATCAGAAAAGGCACACAAATCAAAGGAAATTGATTGGATATAAAGTGAAGAAAAGCTATCCTCTCCCCTGGTAAAACTGAGATTTGTGCCAGGTGAATTGCAGCTAATCAGTGATAAAACCATGTATCAAAATGTCTCTTGTTGTTTCAAGAGGATGATTCACTTCTAACTGCAGAATGATCCACACAGAACTAAACTGCAAAGGATCTAATCTGGTAAGAGCTTTTGTTTTGGCCTACTAGCTGAAGTAAAAAGGGTTGATTTTCTCATTAGGCATTCTTGGATTGCAAGCTGATCCAAAGGAAAAAAGAGAAGGTTAGTGAGGAGTAAGACTGAGGGCATCCTGCCCCATTGTGTTGATACCATGCTGTTTTTTAAAGTATAGCTTCAGTGTACTAGGCCTGGTGGCACCTTCCCTCATGTTGACATCCACCAGCCTCCCTTTTCACTTCTAAGTTAGTCTGAAACCTAAAGGTGCTGCTAAGTAACATCATATCCAGACTGGTAGCTGTCTTGTCAGTGCAAAGAGCAGAGAACTGCTACTATGGCTCTTGGCTAAATAGGCAAGCAAATGTATCTGTATCTCTGTTCTATTATTCCATCTCAACTGATTGTCACTGTATATCTAGATTTTCCATTATGATTTTATATTGGTTTCTTACATTGCTCAGCTCCTCTTGTTAGTATTCCTTTTCCTCAAATAAAACCCTGAGTATCTACTTTTCACTCTGCAGCTTGTCTCACCTTTCTTGTCTATAAAGATGACAGACATTGACCTTTTCACTTTGCAGTGCCTTCCTTTCTTATTTATTATTTCAGTTCATTCACATTCTTTTCTTATGCTCACTTCTGTTCATTCTAGAGCTAATCATTCTTTGGGTAGTAATCTCGTACACCAGGGATTATTTCTGTGACAGACCTCTGATATAGCTTCTAGATATCCAAACAATTGCGCCCTTCCTACTCTTTCTGATATGCCTCATCTATTTCCATGCACCTCTGACTAGCGGATACTTTCCTTTAGATTGCAAGATTAAGTAACTAGAGAAATGAGTCTTACTAAACTTCCTCAGATTTATTTGGAGAACGCGTGTTTATGATTGTAAGTTACTCTTCATTCTTATTCCATACTCCTTTTCCCGTACTTGTCCAGATATGTCTGTTTATATGGATTGTAAGGGGTGGTCAGATCTTTGCTGTTGTTAACTTTACTGATGCTGCAAATGTATCTTTGTAATACTGTTCGTCTGTTACATCTAAGGGCAGTTAATAAATGGATATAGATTACTGAACTTTTCAACACTCGATGAGTTGTAGCTGAATGTGTGAACTAACTCCAATGAATAGCATTGTGTTTAAGATACCATGCAGTGATATGAAATATGAGACTGCAGTATTTGATCTGCGATAGCTCACTTAAACTTGCATTTTATCAATGAATGCCACATGCATTTGTGAACACCTGTGAGACATGAGATTTGCAATAATGGGCAAGCTCCTGCACCACAAACACTGTTCCTCTCTTAGGAGTTCAGATATAATGGGCTGATTCTTTCACCTCATATTTTGTAACATCACTCAACAACAGAAGCCAGATTTAAACATTAGCATTTCCATGTTGTTAGGGTCAGGAGTAGGACATGAGGTGCAACATTGCTACCTAGGATGTTTGGAGGTAAGTCCTGTGTTATCTGTAGCATCCTTCACAACCAGATGCAGGTAATCAGCTGTGACTTTTTGGGGAGGGGTGCTTTTCATTGCATTGTGGAAACATATTCAAATAAACATAGGTATTACTGAAATAGAAATTTTGCTTTCTGTTTCCTTTGTATTTGTCCTTAACTAATACAGTAATTCCGACTCTCTCCAATACTCTGACAGGCAACCACAGAGAAAACAGGGCTAAATTATCTCCACATGACTGCTCATTATATGGCTTTGACCACTTTCCTTCCTCCCAAACCATATCCCATGCGAACTTAAACTAAAAGTTGCACTTTAGCATGCCAAATGCTCATGGATTTTTTCAGGTGGAAAGCTAGAGATTCAACATGCCAATCCCACATGAGACTCTGCATATAAGCAAAGTCATCACAAGAGAACTATTTAGACACAGTTCAACTGTTCAATATGTGAACTGACTCTAGAAAAATGTTTGAGGTGATATTTTTGTGAATGGCAGCTGTTTCAAACATAGCAGGCATCATTTGATATTGAAGCCACTGTTTGATGAATATGCATGTGTGAATCTGCCCTGATTTGCTTACAATACAGAATCAAACAGGAGGTACAAGGTTGGGAAATCATATGCCTGTAGGCGTGAGTAGGCGTTAGAAAAAGCATTAGGAATGGCCATTTCTATATACAAATTTCCTTCAAAATACAAAAGAAAGATGAAGCAATTAGAAAATTATCACTGACTTCATCTTGCTATAGTGTTCTAAGTTATGTACAGTAAATCAAGTCTCCTATCACCTGCCCTCTTTACATCAGGGTATGTCTATCCTAAAAAGGAAAGAAGAAATAGCAGAGAAAACAGAACACTATGAATCCTATAACCCAATTGATGGAATAAATGTAGATTATCACCATGTCCATGTCAAATCGCCATCCCCGGGTATCATCCTCAAAATCAATATAATCCATCCTGTGAGCAGCATGTGGGAAATGCCTTCGTGTAAATGAATCTGGGTTCTGAAAACCTGCAGAGCAAATAAAAATTTCAAGTTAGTCATATTTCTATTAAAGTGAGTTGTTAGGTGCCAATAATGTTTCGTTATTTTTTAAAACTTTATTTTTAGGTGACAGAGGAAATTAAGAAAGGTGAAGCTACATGTTTGTGTTTATTGACTCAGCTCTATTTGGTCATGAGAAAGAAATGTATAGTAAGAATGGGGTCTACTCTTTTAATAAAGAGTAGACCCCAATAAATAAAGAGTAGACCCCATTTGTTATTTGTTTTTTGGCGCCAGGCAAAGATCTTTTTATTTAAGCGTCATTTTAATTGTTAATATTATTTATTTTATCTGGCCAGGGCGACTTATTTTATATTTTTATATTGTTATTTCTTGTATTTTAACTTTGTGTTGTGAGCCGCCCCGAGGCTTCGGCAAATGGGGCGGCATAGAAATGTTTTAATTAATAAATAAATAAGAAAGAAAGAAAGAAATAATAATCACATCTAGTTTTGGAATAGACCTCACACAAAAGTTTGATTTACTATGTTAATTTACTTTCAAGTTTCAGAAGTAACAAGAAATCTTAAAAGCTTTTAGAGCACAATCCTATGATTGCTAAGAAAGAAAAAAACCCAGCTCCCAACATTTCTCAGCCAGGAATGCTGACTGGGAGCTGCTGGGTTTTTAAGGATTGTTTTTTTCTGTCTAAGCATGCAAAGAATTTTATCTATAGAATGGTGTTGCTAATGAATTCTGTGCTTTAACCTATCCTAAATATTGCAACAAAATGTGCATCTGGATTTTAGCTCATCTGATTTCCATGTGAGGAACATGGCTGACAAAGCTTGCCACTGGAATGAACACTATTTGCATTCCACATATAAATCCTTCTTGTGTAGTACTCTTCAGAGTACTCTAATCAAGTTGGCTACATGTGATTGTCTTTTATTTATTTCCACTCTTATGGCAAATATAACACAAATATGCCAGAGGGCTATTTTTGTATCAACAACTTTGAGCCATCTTGTAATCACTAATCAAAGCATAATTATGCAAATATTTAGTGGCAATAGTTGTGACTAGTTAAGTTGCTCCAGTTGAGAAGATTTAGATGAATAGATGTAATCCTTGATTTGTATCTCTGTGTGAATTACTTTACGCAAATCTGCATTACATTTGCCCTAGATTAGACTTTATAATGTAATCATTCTTTATTCAAGAATAGCAATTTTATTACTGTAATTGTTCTTGCTGTAGAAACCCACAGAGAAATATCTCATACTGCATTAGCTAAACGTCTGACCCAATTTTTGCCACCTGAACACATGGGTAACCCCCTCAGAGTCTACAAATAAAAGTAAAACAATCACAAAACTAAGGCTTAACGTTCTCACATTAAAAACCCTTTAAAAGAGCTAAGTGTCATACAAATACACATATTCATCAAAAAGCATGAATAGCTTGCATTTAGACTGCTGCTTTCACATATTTTAGCATACAAGCTGTAAAGTCACTGTACAGTTTCTAAACTGTTGCTGTAGTTATGTGCTGTCAAGTCGTTTCTGACTTATAGCAACCTGCATACTTAAGGACCCCGTTTTGGCGCCTTCCAAAATGTCCCGTCCATGACAGCTCTGCTCAGCTCTTATAAATTCAAGGCTGTGGCTTCATGTATCGAGTCAAACCATCCCATATTTGGTCTTCCTTTTCTTCTGCTTTTCACTTTTCCTATCATTCTTGTCTTCTACAGTGACTCTTGCCTTCTCATGATGTGCACAAACTATGACAGCTTCAGTTTTGTCATTTCTACTTCAAGGGAAAGTTCTGTTAGATATGCTCTGGAGCCCTCTTGTTTTCCTGTTAGTCCAGGGTATTCTCAAAGCTCTCCTCCAGCACCATGCATCACATTTTTTTGGTCAGCTTCTATACTGTCCCACTCTCTCGCCCTATACAGTGGTCAGGAATACTATAGTGTGGATGTTCTTGGGCTTGGTCTCCAGGAAAAATTCCTTGCACTTGATCAAATTTGTAGTTCCTTCATTGCTGCCCTTCCAAATCTGTCTTCTAATTTCTTGGCTGCAATATCCACTTGAATTGATGACTGAGCTGAAGTATACAAAATCTTTCACAATTTCAATTTCCTCATTATTAATAGTGAAGTTCTATAATTCTTCTGCAGTCATAATTTTTGTTTTCTTAAAATTCAGCTGCAGTCCTGATTTTGCACTTTCATCTTCCACTTTCATCAAGATTTGTTTCAATTCATAACTGCATTCTGCCAGTAATACGGTATCATCTGCATAATTTAAATGATTGATGTATCACCTGCCAAGTTTAACTCCTTCCTCTAATCCTAATCAATCTTCCTTTATGATATGTTTTGCATATTGATTGAACAGATAGTGAGAGAAAATACACTTTTGTTTGATGCTTTTACCTACAAGCAACCATTTTGTTTCTCCTTATTCTGTCCTAATAGTAGTGTCTCATCTGTGCTACAGGTTATGCATCAGGACAATCAAATATTGAGGTATATCCAATTCTTTCAGGACCATGCATAACTTTTCATGATCCACACAGTTAGATGCTTTGCTTCAGCCCATGAAGCATAGGCTGATCTTCTTCTGAAATTCTGTGGCTTACTCCAGTTGCCAATATGTATTTGCAATATGATCTTGACTGTCTCTTCCTTTTCAGAATTCAGCTTGAATGTCAGGCATTTCTTGCTCCATGCAGGGTAATATTCTTTGTCATCTTTTTATCTTGCCTGCATATTTTTCTATATACTGTTTCCACCCTCTCTTTATTTTATAATGGTCAGATAATATGCTCCCCTATTACTATCTAAAATTAAGTTTGAATGTTTCTTTTATTTCTTGGATCTTCTAGAAGAAGCATCTTGTTTTTCCTGTTTTGTTTCTTTGCACTTACCAGTGTAAAAGTTATTTTTATTTCTACAAGCTGGAAAATTTTGCATACAGAAATTTTGTGTGACCATATTGCTGACACCATTTGCTTTTTGCCTGCCTTTAGCAATTGTGAATGTTTCTTCTGTCATCCATCTAGGTTCCACTCCACGCATACTTAATTGTGTGAATTGTCTTTTTGCATTCTGTTCTAATGCCTAATATCAGTCCACAGTTTTTATGGATCACAGTCAACTGAGTTTAGTAATGCAAATCTGTTCTTTATGTGGACTTTAAATTCCTCAGGGTTGTTATTTAAATAGTATTATGGCACTATGATTCTGTTAAAGATCTTTTTCAGCTTTAAGTTTTGATATTAGGAGTTCATGGTCTTGTTTTGGATGTAGTACAGATTCTTCATCTTCTAATTCCAATTATGTGGTTTTCTGATACGATTGGTCTGATTCAGTCAGACTTTGCATTATAGCTTTAAAAGTTAATTATTTCCAGAGTAAAGCCACTTCATGCTGGAAATGTCCCAGTCTGCTTGAGATCATGCAAACCAAGCTATGTTTAGCTGTCTAATTTATTGCTTTTTCTTGATTCATACTTCTTGAGTTCCATGTTCCAACTGTAGTGTTGTGCCACACTGGACTTTCTTTTCACTTCTGTGCATGTCAGCCACTAGTCTTCCTTTTGTCTTTGGTCTAGTTGTGTCACAAGTGACAACACTATTTCTACTTGTTCTTTGCTTTTCTCCAGTAGCTCGTTGAGTGCCTTTCAACCTAGAAGTCTCATCTTCTGGTACTATCTCCATTTCATTTTTAAGTGGTCTACCATTGTCTTCTTCTGTGAAGAACTAAACAGTGCTAGCTTGAGTGTCCCTACTATTTTCTGTGAAAGGTTCTCTACCAGTGTTGCCTTCAGTTCCCGTTGTTGCCCAGTGGCTGCTCTGGGATGTCTCCCAAAAGAAAAGCTTCTCTTGTCAACGCTTTTTGCCACACCTTCTTCATAAAAGGCACTCTCAAGTTTTCAGAAATATTGAAGTGTCAGGTAAGCAGAAAATGAGAGCTGTTTATAGGAAGGAAAGACAAGCCATGGTAATCTATCTTATGTGAAACAAGTCAGAAGTATAGACATTGATGATATCACTATGGAAATCAAGAAACTGTTCTGCATATCTGCCATAAGAAGTAAAATTATATATTTTGTTGGAATAGCTTGTTTAAAATGTTCCCATGGGTTCCTGATTTGGTGTATTAATTCTTTAAAAAAGATCTATTATGTTTTTAGGATAAAGGCTACTTGCTTAGGTATAATGCACAGAGAACAAAGAGGCCAAAGTGGAGTCCGTTAACTGAATTGGAGACAGTCAGGCTTTGTTCTCAGAAATGAACCATCTGTGATTCAATTAACAGTCCACTCTCATCTTCCTTCTTTGAGCTGCTTCTATTTTGTTGCATTGATTTTTGAAGCATTTAAGAAAGGAACCACTTTACCCCACCCCAAGAGAAACAATAGATAAACATCCATTAGAGGGTATTGTGTGAGAGAAGATGCAAAAAACATCATTTTCATTTTATTATAAAGAGAAGAAAGGCAAAAAGCAAATGATGGGATACATACAATTTAAAAATCTAAATAACTTACCAAAGAGAAGCAGATAAATCAAAATACAGTTAACACTTTAGCACGTTCTAAGCTGAGAGCAGTAACTGCATTTTTCACAGCTCAGGAGATTTTGCCAAATGAAATTTATCCTCACATGATTTTATATATATATATATATATATATATATATATATATATATATGCGCGCACACACAAAGATTGAGAGAGAGAGAGAGAGAGATGTGAGCATGGTATGATATTGAAAATCATGTGGAAAACACTAACTCAGATTCTTTTTAGGTCTCAGAGCAGGTGGCTAGCAATGGCTGTTAATGAAGATGATAAAATATAAAGTTTCTAGATGAATAAAAGATAGCTGGCAATTTTTAAGTTAAATCTTGAAAGTTTTTTGTTGATACTTGAATGTCAACCATCAAGCATATATTGGAATTTATATTTATTTTTAGAAAGTAATGATGCAATCCTATGCAAGTTTAGACAGAAAAA